CCTGCGACAACAACACCCAAACAATTCCAAACAACATGGCGCTTTGGCAAAGATTGGCAAAATGAAGGCGGGGCTAGAGACCTTCAATCAGCAACCGGGTTCCCCGGAATCCTGCCATTCCGTTACACTTGCAAAAGTATTGCTTTTTGTTAAAGCTGCGCCATTTTTCGCAAAAAAGGTCACTGCAGCAATCTCATTTTCGGGGCCGTAAACACATTGGCTTTTTGGACGCCAAGAAGTGGTCCTCCCCAGTTGCGTTGAAAGCTAGCTGCTTAAACAAAACCCAACTTTGATTTACTTGCGTACTGTTAAAGAGCTTCGTGCTTCGAGCAGGTCGCAAGTTTCCACACTGCCAAAAATGGGATTGCCACGCGCTACCGCTTTTCGCTTTGGACAGGGCCATTTCGAGGCTGTTTTCAATTTCTATTTTAATAGCAGGCGAGACCAAAAACGGGCGCGCAAAATCCACAAAGTTCGCCAGAAAACATGAAACCACAAAAGGCAGGAAGGATGACACAAACATCCACGTGCTGAACTGGGGAGGACCGCTTTTGGGAGTCCAAATTCTATATACCTTTCCAACCCCAAAAATGGGCATCAAACAGTTCAGTGACATCATCTTGCGCATGTTGCGGTTTCTTGCGGAGTCGTCTGGAGTCACAAAGTTGGAACTCTTTCAGCCCTTTTCCCCATTGTAAATGGGGTTTCAGCAGGTGTACCGACTCCGCCCGACTCCGGCAAGACTCCGCAGCTAAAGACATCAAAACTGGCACAAAACTGTGGTAAAATCGAAGTTTTGCATCTCCAGCCTTCTTACGGAATCTGCTGGAGTCATGAAATCGAAACACTTCCCCCAATGTAAACAAAGGAATCATCCGGTTTTAAATATATACTATTATTCTTTAACCGGATGACATGGAACTCCGGGCGACATACACGACCCGACCCGCAAAGTTGCCGCGTTAGGAGTCTAGGGGGGCGAAGGGGGGGGAGCCCAAAAACAAACAACGCATCAAGAGACCAAAACAAAACTGAGCAGCGCAAACGCAAACACAGAAAAAGCATCCCGCCAGCACTGTCGCAGCGGAATCAGCACCTCACCCACGCCATGTTGCGAAAGCCTGCGACAACAACACCCAAACAATTCCAAACAACATGGTGCTTTGGCAAAGATTGGCAACATGCAGGCGGGGGTATAGAGACCTTCAATCAGCAACCGTGTTCCCCGGAATCCTGCCATTCCGTTACACTTGTAAGAGTATTGCTTTTTGTTAAAGCTGCGCAATTTTTCGCAAAAAGGTCACTGCAGCAATCTCATTTTCGGGGCCGTAAACATATTGGCTTTTTGGACTCCAAGAAGTGATCCTCCCCGTTTGCGTTGAAGTTGCTGCTTGAACAAAAAACCCAACTTGATTTTACTTTGCGTATGTAAAGATCTTGTGTTTTCGAGCAGGTCGCAAGTTCCCACAACACCATGCCAAAAATGGGATTGCCACGCGCGACCGCTTTTCGCTTTGGACAGGGCCATTTCGAGGCTGTTTTCAATTTCTATTTTAATAGCAGGCGAGATCAAAAACGGGCGCGCCAAATCCACGCTTTGGAGCGTGTGGCAATCCTGTTTTGGGGTTGCGACATGACGCACGGAACGCACCCAGCTGCTTCAAAAGTTCGCCAGAAACCATGAAACCACAAAAGACAGGAAGGATGACACAAACATCCACGTGCTGAACTGGGGAGGACCGCCTTTAGGAGTCCAAATTCTATATGCCTTTCCAACCCCAAAAATGGGCATCAAACAAATCGAACAGTTCAGTGACATCATCTCGCGCATCTTGCGGTTTCTTGCGGAGTCGTCTGGAGTCACAAAGTTGGAACTCTTTCAGCCCTTTCCCCATTGGAAATAGGGTTCCAGCAGGTGTACCGACTCCGCCCGACTCCGGCAAGACTCCGCAGCTAAAGACATCAAAACTGGCACAACACTGTGGTAAAACCGAAGTTTTGCATCTCTAGCCTTCTTACGGAATCTGCTGGAGTCATGAAATCGAAACTCTTCCCCCAATGTAAACAAAGGATTCATCCGGTTTTAAATATATACTATTATTCTTTAACCGGATGATACTGAACTCCGGGCGACATACACGACCCGACCCGCAAAGTTGCCGCGTTAGGAGTCTAGGGGGGCGAAGGGGGGGCCCAAAAACAAACAACGCATCAAGAGACCAAAACAAAACTGAGCAGTGCGACGCCCAATCGTGACAAAACGATCCACTGCCAACGCAAACACAGAAAAAGCATCCCGCCACAGCACCTCACCCACGCCATGTTGCAAAAGCCTGCGACAACAACACCCAAACAATTCCAAACAACATGGTGCTTTGGCAAAGACTGGCGACATGCAGGCGGGGCTAGAGACCTTCAATCAGCAACCGTGTTCCCCGGAATCCTGCCATTCCGTTACGCTTGCAAAAGTATTGCTTTTTGGTAAAGCTGCGCCATTTTTCGCAAAAAAGGTCACTGCAGCAATCTCATTTTTGGGGCCGTAAACACATTGGCTTTTTGGACTCCAAGAAGTGGTCCTCCCCAGTTGCGTTGAAAGCTTGCTGCTTGAACAAAACCCAACTTTGATTTACTTGCGTAATGTAAAGAGCTTGGTGTTTCGAGCAGGTCGCAAGGTTCCACACTGCCAAAAATGGGATTGCCACGCGCGACCGCTTTTCGCTTTGGACAGGGCCATTTCGAGGCTGTTTTCAATTTCTATTTTAATAGCAGGCGAGACCAAAAACGGGCGCGCCAAATCCACGCTTTGGAGCGTGTGGCAATCCTGTTTTTGGGGTTGCGACATGACGCACGGAACGCACCCAGCTGCTTCAAAAGTTCGCCAGAAACCATGAAACCACAAAAGACAGGAAGGATGACACAAACATCCACGTGCTGAACTGGGGAGGACCGCCTTTGGGAGTCCAAATTCTATATGCCTTTCCAACCCCAAAAATGGGCATCAAACAAATCGAACAGTTCCGTGACATCATCTTGCGCATCTTGCGGTTTCTTGCGGAGTCGTCTGGAGTCACAAAGTTGGAACTCTTTCCACCCTTTTCCCATTGTAAATAAGGTTTCAGCAGGTGTACCGACTCCGCCCGACTCCGGCAAGACTCTGCAGCGAAAGACATCAAAACTGGCACAAAACCGTGGTAAAACCGAAGTTTTGCATCTCCAGCCTTCTTACGGAATCTGCTGGAGTCATGAAATCGAAACTCTTCCCCCAATGTAAACAAAGGATTCATCCGGTTTTAAATATATACTATTATTCTTTAACCGGATGATACTGAACTCCGGGCGACATACACAACCCGACCCGCAAAGTTGCCGCGTTAGGAGTCTAGGGGGGCGAAGGGGGGGAGCCCAAAAACAAACAACGCATCAAGAGACCAAAACAAAACTGAGCAGTGCGACGCCCAATCGTGACAAAACGATCCACTGCCAACGCTAACACAGAAAAAGCATCCCGCCACAGCACCTCACCCACGCCATGTTGCGAAAGCCTGCGACAACAACACCCAAACAATTCCAAACAACATGGTGCTTTGGCAAAGATTGGCAACATGCAGGCGGGGTTTAGAGACCTTCAATCAGCAACCGTGTTCCCCCGAATCCTGCCATTCCGTTACACTTGCAAGAGTATTGCTTTTTGTTAAAGCTGCGCCATTTTTCGCAAAAAAGGTCACTGCAGCAATCTCATTTTTGGGGCCGTAAACACATTGGCTTTTTGGACTCCAAGAAGTGGTCCTCCCCAGTATATATATCATATATAATATATCATATAATATATCATATATAATATATAATATATAACATATAAATACATATAATATATACTATATATAAGATATATAAGATATAAATATACAATATATATAATATAGATTATATATAATGCATATTCTCTCTTTCTCTCTCTCTCTCTGTATTACATGTGTACAGTATATGCTTAATTAGACTGATGCAAGCAAACCCTCCGCAGCGCTTTCCTGTTCAGCTGCCAGGCGTGACCTCGCATTGGCAGTGTTTGCCACCATCACCAGGGATGATGTCTCCCAACACGTCCTTAGATACAACACGATTTGAAGGCAATATTTCGATTAATATGCGATAAAATATCAATATACAATAATACCGAACTAACTAACCAGCTAACTAACTAACCAACTACCTAAGTAAGTAAGTAGGTAAGTGGGTGAGTGAGTAAAGTAAGTAAAGTAAGTGAGGTAAGGTAAGTAAGGTAGGTAGAGTAGAGTAGAGCAAACTTAAGTAAGTCAGTCAGTAAGTAACTATCTATCTATCTATCTTTCTATCTATCGATCAATCTATGTATTTATGCATCTATGCATCTAATCAACGAAACTGCGTTAAACAAACAAATAGTTCAATATTCAAATTAATAAAATACACAATTGAATAAAAACACATAATACACATCATGATTATAATAAAGGATAAACACCATTCTTATCTACCACGCCGAGCTTCTATGCTGCACACGACTTTCTGCATCTGTTTGTCCTTCAAGGACCAAGATACTATACAAAAAATGAACATGTCGCTTATTGTTGCTTGACCACCTTCCAATTTGCCCGTCTTGCTATCTCAGAAATAAAACTGAGACCAACGCACTTTATCTCTGGAAATGGGGACACACCAAACCAAATTGAAATTTGCGAACCAGGTAGAATCAAAATAGATTGCAACACCATCATGGGAACCAAATCAAATAGAAGGAACCACTTTGTGTTGCGTTCCCAGCCGTCCTTTGGCAGCTCGATGATCTGCCACTTCTCATCGTTGCCCCACTTCACGCGCCCTCCACAAATGCACTCCTGCCATTGTCCCGCGCAAAAGATCCACGCAGGCTGCGCCTGCATCAACGATCCAAGAAGATCCACAAAACGAATCACCAGGAGCCTAATCGGATCAGATATGGTGCAAATCTTTAAAAGCGAAATCAGTTACTTTTCGAAAGAAGAGTTTGCACCTCCGGATCCAGGACAGCTGGCTCCTCGCAGCTTTGTAAGCCGAAACAAGGTCACACGGTGATAGATGCTGCAGAAACGTTGTAAATAACAGCGTTTTAGCCACTTTCGGGGACTAAAACTGTGGTATTTACGCGGGTTCTTGTCATCTGGCATCGCAAAATGTTGTAAATTAAAGCACTTTGTGCGTTGTTTATGTTCAATTTTTAAACGCGCGATGCTTTCACATGTTCTTTGCATTCTTCCACAAGAAACGTTGCAGATTAGCGTGACCCGAACGAAAGCTGGAGGGAGGAGATGCACAGAAGCTTTTACACACACAGGGGCTTTTACACAGAGAAGCCTTTACACAAAGGAGCTTTTTACACACAGAAGGTTTTACGCAGAGAAGTCTTTACTCTAAGGAGCTTTTGCACACAACGCCTAGGAGCTTTTACACGCAGAAGTTTTTACACGAAGAAGTCTTTACACAGAGGGTCTTTTACAGACAGACGCGTTTGCACACAGAAGCTTTTACACAGAGAAGCCTTTACACAGAGGAGCTTTTACACACAAAAGCGTTTACACACAGCAAGCTTTTACACACACACACAGGGGCTTTTACACAGAGAAGTCTTTACACAGAGAGTTTTTACACACGGACGCATTTACGCACAGAGAAATCTTTACACAAACGCGCTTTCATACGGAGAAGCCTTCACACACAGAAGGAAGCTTTTACACAAAGAAGTCTTTACACAGAGTGGTTTTTACACACAGAAACTTTTACACACAAAAGCGTTTACACAGAGAAGTCTTTGCACAGAGGCGCCTTTACACGAAGTAACAAGCTGAAATTCGCAGCAGTTCTTTAGGAAAAACCCTTCGCAGGAGCTTTCGGGAACTCACTTGCTCCCCAAAAAACCGTCTATTTCCAACAAATATGTTTTAAACAACCTAAGGAATATATTTCTGAAGCAGGTCCTCATTCAATAGCTTTCAAGTCCACACTGCGATGAAATGGAGCGCGTAATCCGGCGGAGCCGACGATGAGCGTCAGCTCAAAAATAATTTAATATCTTTCTTTCTTTCTTTCTTTCTCTCTCTCTCTCTCTCTCCCCCTCTCCTTCACCATCTGCCAAGACCGAGACCGTCGGCGGCAGCTACAGTACATACCCGTTTTGGTACGAGTACAGTAGCCTTCTGCAAGAACATGGGGAAATAAAATATGTGAATTGCCAAACTAAGATCACTAAAGAGATGAAGGAACTATCTACTGCACAAACTCTCCAATTTCTGCAAATCTTACTCACGTGCGCGTCTGCGACAACACTTGTCTTGTTCTGGATTCACCCGCTCAAGATCCTGCCACAAATACTCACATGTACGATCCTACGCAAAACGTACAGAAATCTTCACCCATAACTTTTACACATTACTTTATAGAGGCTTCTACGAAAGGCAGATTGGTTTTGCGACGAGATCGTTGCACCGCGACGAGTAAATAAATAAATAAATAAAATAAATAACAAAATAAAATGAAAAAATACATGTATATCTATATATGCACATTGCAATGTACAATGTATAATTATATATATAATATCATGTATATATATATATGTGTGTGTGTGTGTCTGTGCGCATATATATATACACACTGTATATGCACTGTATATATATATGTGTGTAAATATATATATATATGTGCACACAGTGAATAGATCGGACAGATTGGATGGATCAGAAGGTTCGGATATATAATGTCATCGCCAACAGCGGGTGGTTGAAATGCGGGCCATGGGCTGCTGTGAATTTATTTGAATGCACAAAAGAAGGCCAGAGCATGAGACACGTATCAAAAAAAAATAAAAATGCATCAAAAAAAAAATATCCAGCACGCATCAAAAAAAATAAAAATGCATCAAAAAAAAAATATCCAGATGCCACTGTGTGAGACCTCCTGAGTCTCGTGCTGCAAACCTAGATCAAAAAAAAATATCCGTATCAAAAAAAAAAATATAGTAGCAGCAGCAGCAGCAGCAGGAGTAGTAGTAGTAGTAGTAGTAGTAATAGTAGTAGTAGTAGTAGTAGTAGCAGCAGTAGCAGTAGCAGTAGCAGTGGCAGTAGCAGTAGCAGTAGCAGTAGCAGTAGCAGCAGCAGCAGCAGCAGTAGTAGTAGTTGTAGTAGCAGTAGTAGTAGTAGTAGCAGTAGTAGTAGTAATAGTAGTAGTAGTAATAATAGTAGTAGTAGTAGCAGCAGTAGCAGTAGCAGTAGCAGTAGCAGTGGCAGTAGCAGTAGCAGCAGCAGTAGTAGCAGCAGCAGCAATAGTGGTTGTAATGGTCGTAGTAGTAGTGGTAGTAGTGGTACTAGTAGTGGTACTAGTAGTAGTGGTAGTAGTAGTGGTAGTAGTAGTGGTAGTAGTAGTGGTAGTAGTAGTGGTAGTAGTAGTAGTAGTAGTAGTAGTAGTAGTAGTAGATGTGGTTGTCGTCGTAAGAATAACAATAGTCGCAGGGGTAGCAGTAGCAGTAGCAGTAGTAGTAGCAGTAGCAGTAGCAGTAGTAGTAGCAGCAGCAGTAGTTAGTAGTAGTAATAGTAGTAGTAGAAGTAGTAGCAATAGTAATAGTAATTAATAGTAATAGTAATAGCAATAGTAATAGAGATAGTAGTAGTCGTCGTCGCAGTAGTAGTAGTCGTCAAAAAGGAAATGCTAATAAAAAAAAAGCGGGTGGGGGGCGCAGGGGGGAGGGCGCAGCGCCTCCCCCCGCAATGCGTACCAAGAAAGAAGCACATAGGCACATGTCTCGATGGATATCAATAAAGTTGAAATGAGCCCAAGGAAAGGATGATGCTTATGAAAAAGCAAAAGAATAGTAGGTACAGATGGGAGCCGGTTAAATGGGAGCCGGTTAAAAAAATAAAAGCGGGTGGGGGGGTGCAGGGGGGAGGGCGCAGCGCCCGCCCCCGCAATGCGTACCAAGCAAGAAGCACATAGGCACATGTCTCGATGGACATCAATCTTCCTTCCTTCCTTCCTTCGTTCCTTCCTTCCTTCCTTACGATTTTTTTATCCTAATATTATTTTGTTTTGATCCTAATGATATATTTTTGATCCTAATAATATTTTTGTTGCTCTAGATGCCTCCTTTACTTCCTTCCTTCCTTCCTTCCCTTTAGGTTGAATATTTTTTTATTGCAATAATAGTTTTGTTTGATAACAACTGTTTTTGATTGCATGTGCAAAGAGAAAGAGAATCAAGAGCCGTAGGATCCATAGATGCGAAAAGCCTCAGGAGCCGAAGGAGCCATAGGAGCCGAAGAAGCCAGAGGAGCCGGAGGAGCCATGCACCAAAGGAGCTAAAAGACAAGCAGCCAGAAGCCAAAGCCAAAAGCCAAGAAGCCACGAAGCCACCAGGAGCCACCAGGGACACAGGAGCCGAAGGAGCCACAGAAGCCAGGAGCCACCAGGAACCAAGGAGGAAAAAAAAACAACAAATTAAATGCCCCTCCGACTTCTAATGTTTAAAGGATAACAAGTACATCTAAGAAATGTATAGAAATGTTATCTTTGGGTTCAAAACAAAATGTTAGCGCATGATTCATGTATTTTTTGGTATGTTTTGGAAACACATCTATGTGGTTCTGACTTGCATCTCAGCTCAATATTTCTGCAACGGGTTCCGAACGAGGCCAAAAACGATGCCAAAACGAGGCCAGAAAATAGCTTTGGAAACCCCTTAACTCTAGCAGCTCAGCAGCACTTTGCACGCTGCCCGTGGTGGCCCCTCCTTCCCTCCTTCCCTCCTTCCCTCCTTCCCTCCTTCCTTCCTCCCCTCTTTTCCTCCTTCCTTCCTTCCCTCCTTGCCTCCTTCCTTCCCTTCTTCCTTCCTTCCCTCCTTCCTTCCCTCCTTCCCTCCTTCCTTCCCTCCTTTCCTCCTTCCTTCCTTCCTTCCTTCCTTCCCTCCTTTCCTCCTTCCTTCCTTCCTTCCTTCCCTCCTTCCCTCCTTCCCTCCCTCCTTCCTTCCTTCCTTCCCTCCTTCCCTCCTTCCCTCCTTCCCTCCTTCCCTCCTTCCCTCCTTCCTTCCTTCCTTCCCTCCCTCCCTCCCTCCCTCCCTCCTTCCTTCCTTCCTTCCCTCCGTCCGTCCGTCCTTCCTTCCTTCCTTCCTTCCTTCCTTTCCTCCTGTATGGTCATTTATTTTTTTTTTGATGCATTTATATTTTTTTTTTGATGCATTTTTATTTTTTTTTTGATGCATTTTTATTTTTTTTTGATGCGTCTCCCACCACACATTACCACATTGCAACAATTTTTAGGCTCAATCAGTCAAATAGCCCCACCCATTGGCCTTACAAAAAAAAATGGAAACAAAGAACCTCAAATAAAATGGAAACAAAGAACCTCAAATATCCTCTTATCCTCTTACATTTGCCGCAATACTTTGCACATTGGCACAAAATTGGCAACCTGCAAAAACACGTCGAAACATGTGAAAACATGTTTATCCAAAGAACCATATTTTTCTTTCCACAATGTGGTTTCAATTTCTCCTGCGGCTTGACCTGCGTGACCGTATCTTCATTGTCCTGAATCTCATCTTGGATGCAGAAAGATCTTCAAAAAGTGTGTCTCTCTAGCTGATGTTTGCCGACGTTCGCTGCGATCTTTTATTATCTTCACCGTAATCATGATGTTGCAATGAACAGTAGTGACAATGAAATCACTGAAATCAATAGACAACTTGCCATGCACTGGACACAGCAAATGGTCAAACATGCTACGTGTAGTAGGCATGAGCGGACTATCAGAAGCAAAGTACTGCGAAATTGTGTCCAAGCCCAAGCGGTGCATGGATCCTTGGAGGGCCGCCACTGCGCTTCAACACCGACAAATCTGTCCTTTCCCTCAACATCTTTTAGCATCTGCTTCTCTGCTTGAACCGATGGCACATCATTCTTTGATGCACCCTGGCAACGATCCCCTTATTCCCCTTTCTACAAGCTATTTGGATGCGTGGTTGGGATAGAACACAACCAACAAATTGCAAATCAAATAGCAAGGCCCAGCAAGAACACGTGGACGTACAGTAATTGTGCATTTCACAGCTATGGAAAACTCGTTGCCTGTGTTCCACCTTGCTCTTTCCGCTTGTGCTTCTTGTGTTTTCCTTTGCCAGTCCGGTGCCTGCAAGGAAGCGGGACCCACAGAATCCTGCAGTGCTTCACAACCAGTTCATCAGCTAGGCATAAATAATATCAGTCTCAGCTGCGCCTAGCTTCCGGAACCACATCAACTTCTGCCTCCTCGCTCATGGGGAAAATCTTGCAAATCAGACCGAGCACTAAGCACTGACAAATTGTGTAACAAACGAGTTTCAGGAGCTGCGAAGCTCCTATTAGCCACATGCATCTAATAATGATTTTCCCTCCGCAATATCAGTACAGTAGGACTCTTGCGGCGTTGAAGATGTGAGATGTATGGCTTTTTTCTCGCGGTCAAATATTCAAAGCGGGGCCGCATCTGGGCTTTTGCGAAATCATTATTGCCAAACATCGTGCACGAACACGCAGAAGGTTCGACATGTGTACATAAACATATATATAATTATATATATACAAACTTGGCGCACACACACACACGCGGAGTATATGTGGGTAAGTATAATGTCATGTCCATTACTTCATATCTACTGTGGCCATCTGTGGGCATCTGTGGGCTGGAAGTTGTTCAAATGGCTCTTGCACCTCTCCTGCACCTGTGGCCAGGTGAAACTGAAGATTGCCACGAGCAACAAAGCTGACACTGCCAGAAGCGCCTTCTGAGCTGTACCTGCCGAAGATGTGCGAAGAATCTCGGAACCCAAAAGATCCAAAGTTCCAAAAGCCACTTGCCATGAACCGAATCCGTACATATATACAAATGGGGAATAAGATTGACTACTGTAGTTTTGGGCCAAAGGCAAAGCCTCCTAACCTCTTAAAATGAAAAGCATGCAACATTGAACATTTTAAGTCTCCAATAGTTTCCATACGTTTCACATCATTGCACCTGGTCCGCCTTTGCCTTTACTCCTCTTGGCAGCCATTGCAGCTCCATGGGTACAAAAAGAAGCTTGTGTTGCAAAGCCCAGGAGGGTTGGTTTGGATCTCTGCAAAATGTGACACTGGCGTGGTGTGTCGTACGTGTTCATGGCGATTACATACAATTACAGTACATCATAGTACATCCATGTAACGTACATCCTCTAAACATCCCAAAACCATGGATACCGTACTTGAAAATGCTTGGATCATCTGACAAGTGCTTGCCTAACGGGCCATATGGCTGAGGCGGCAAACGGTGATTTGGGTGACATATGGTGACATGTGACACAGGGGAATCATGCTCAACTTCCCAACTTCCCAACTGTTTGGAAGCACACCAAGCAGCCAAGCAATGACCCTCAGCTCCAGTGACTCGACTAGAAAGGCTGCCACGTGTTCAGCAAACAAGCAGGACATGACCTCTCGGCAGCTCCTGAGTTCGCAGTTATACATTGCCATGAACACTCACCATCCACCTGTATCCCTGGTCACCTTTAATTTTGATGCGTGATGTCTGCAAGCTTGAACACTTGGAAAATCCCAGAAGAGTCAACATATAAAAAGGGATTTGAACTGGCACAACTCGTCACATGGGCCACATGGGCATCCGCGGTATGGGTGACTGCCTGTGGTGGGTTGAACACTATACTGACTTGACATGACTTGACTGCTGGAGATCCATAGGAACGTATGTCAGTACAGCATCATGCCTTGGTCGTTTTCCCATCCAAGGACTGAAACACAAACGAATACACAAGGACTTTATCATGTCCGTTCCCTTTTCACCCTTTTCACCTGCAGTATTCTGGGTCATGAGAGAAGGATATCTTCCTTTATTTCTCCCGCCTGTGGAGAAATTACATGAAATTACCTTTAGAATGCAGAATGCTGTGATATGCTGTAGATAACTTATTGTAATGATTGATGTCATTTAATGCCAACGGATCCACATCTCCAACCCTATCCAGGTCACCTTGGTGTGGTTGCGCGTCCAAACAAATCTGGTCGCCGAGGTGAGCCCAACCTGGGAAGTGTGCAGAGAGGGTTTCAGATCACACATTCTTACGCTCGAAATTCAGTTTTTTTTTCTTCGTCACAGGTCAAATATGTCAACACACTTCTTAGATCTTCATAGATTCAACATGATTCAACCCTAGGTTGGTTAATTATGGTTAATTCTAATGCGCTAACTGCCGCATTTTTCACCCTACGCATCCGCAACGTCCATCTGTGAAGTGCAACCTGATGGTGTCAGCATCTTTTGATGCTTCTGCTGCTTCTAACGGCACTGGAAAGGCAACGGAGAGTCCATCAGACTCCCCGAAGGACCATGACATTTCTTGAGCTGAAACCCCGTGCCCCACCACGAGTTCACAGCTGGCTGCTGCTCGTTGAGATCCTAGAGCGAAGGGTGATGCAACAGTTACGGGACCCAGCTTTGCAGCAACTTCTGATGGCAAGCGTTGAGGATCCCGCGGCCGATGGCCACGCCAAATATTGACCAGCAAAGTGCTGCGAGCTGACCTCTTCTTGCCAGTTCTTGGCACACAACCAAACACATTGCGCAGCTCAACAGGGGCTCCATGCAGCAGGGTCCCATCAAAGCAAATATGTTTACCTGGGACTGGCAAACTCAAATGGGCTGAGTGTATCACAGCACCGTTGCCAGCCATGATAGACTCTTCTCTACAAGCCTCAACGATTGCTGTTGGTGCCACGCTGCCACCAGCCTCTAAGTAGGTCACAGTAGCAAGGAAGGGGTGTTTCACATCACCTCTGTCTCGGGCCTCGTAGTCTGCATCCCAATGCCATCCCACATCATCCTCCTCGCCGTCCATCCAAAGAGTCCACCATTCAGCTCCAGTTGCATCGTGTATGCTTAGTCTGTGCTGATGCCATTGAAGTATCTCCTGTACTATCTGCTCCAGGGCACAAGCTGGACTCGTGCCAATTGGAAGCCAATACGTCTTCCCCGAACTTTCGCTCTCCTCTTTCTCGACTGTGTGGGCAGTAAACACACGACGACAGTCGGCGACAAGATCAGCTCCTTAGCCAAGTGCTATCGAAACTGAGGCAACATTCAATGCTTTAACATGTTTTAAGATGCTAGTATGCTCAATGGCTCAATGATATCAGTATGTATATATATAAATATACATGCGTGTGTAATAATGTTACCAAAAAAATCGGACATGACAAACACATGCACTGCTGCGGTATTCGTTCAGTATTTCGCAGATCGCTGTAGAGCAATTTGTTGGGAATATGACTTCACAGTGATCGTAAACGATGGCCGTTGAAATCACTTTCCCATCTTGTTTCCTCGGAAACAATAGGGCTCCGTGCTGTTTCGGTCGCTGCAGAAGCTCAAACGCTCTGGGAAAGATTCAACAGCGGCAAGTGAGCCACACATGCTGGAATGTCTTTATCAGCTGTCTTGGTCATTCTCATCTTGCCAAAACTGGGACCTTGCACTTCATCTGAAACTTTAAAGTAGCTCTGCCAAACTTGGCCAAGAATCGCAATCAGCAAACAAATATGCGTTAAAACTCATTGTCCCACAATTCTTGACAAGTGCAGGGATGTTTTCAATGACATGTGGCACGGCATCATCAATCTTGAACCGAAGCTGACTGCTGGCGTCCATCAACACAGCAAATGACCAACATGCTGCTGATGCTGCTGAACCCAGTGCGCCATATTGCGCCTCAATCGGCGCGTGCCATCTACGCCCTTGGCCTGCAAGCAGGCAAGTGGCAAAGCCAGTGTTGAGATTTTGCGATTGAAAGTGGGTCTCTGGAATTTGATTTCTTCGATGGATCCATATTTTTGCAGATTGTTTGGCATTGAACCATTGGATTTGTTTTCCACTTTGTTTTTCTTCACTAAGTTGCAAATTAGTTATTCTGATGGCCCAAACAGGTTGAAAGAGACCTGAGCTTGGGTGATCTGGTCGCCCTTATTATAGTCATTATTCAAAAGCAAGGGAGAGTAGGGAGAGGTGCCAAAGTCTGCCAAAGTCTGCTGCAAGCTTCTGTTGCCGACAGTTTCTGAATTCTGAACACAAGGCCTACTGTTTGATGTGAAGGCTGTGGAAGTTGAAAACAACTTCTGCATCCCTTTGGATGCTTGAAACGGCTTCCTGCTCTCCTTTTCGAACCCAGCGCTCTGTCTCGGACCACAAGTCCATATGAACATGTAGAGAAACACCCGGAAACAATCCTCGGATCAGTCAGCAAAGCTTCCGCTGAAGACCCGACGCTGTCGCTGCTGGTCATGGCATGTGAAACCCATTGAAAAATCCAATGGCTGCTGAACAGCAACATCTTTTGCATCGACCTGAGGACTGAATGAGAAACCAGAGTTCGCATCTCCAATTTTTGAAATGATGAGCCTTTGCCAAGCAGCCGCGAAACTGGCAGCAAACAGCCAAGCAAGAGATGCAAAGGGTGTGGCTCGCGTACAGGATGACTCTGCCGCTTGCACAGTCAGCATCCTCACCAAACTGACTTCTCAACAGCAAACAGTGCAAGTGGAGGGCTTATATGGTTACAAAGATTTAAAACGCCTGTATGTGATTAATATTGATCACAGGAACGACACAACACATCATGGCTGGCATCGCACCGGGACTACCACTCAAGCAAATAACAATGACAAAGCAAAACCATAGCAAAACTCACAGCAACTTGAAGACCTGTTTCCTTTCAGTGTCATCTTTAGTATACAGCCTGCCCGTTTTCCAAAGTCATCTTCTGTCCTCGCCCAAGCTTGCTGCTACGGCTAACAAGGCCTTGCGTTCTGCATGTTGCGACCTCGCAGCTGACATGTCTAAGCACCTTCATCCAGCCCTCAGCTCTTGTGCAAAATGAGATAACATATGTACTAGGCAATTAAAATATGTGTATATGTATATATATATATTATATAATATATATGTATCTATTTAATTCTATTTATCTATTGATGTTTATGTTATGCTAAAACCTTTCAATATGTCTCAAGATGTTTCAATTGGCCGAGCATGATGGCATGGTAGACCATCTGACATTCTTTGATGCCATCCTTCTGAGCCCTTGTGCCTGTCATGCTCTCGAAGTACTGGCACCAAGCGCTGCTCTAAATCACTTGGAGCTGTGGACATGGTATCCTGGGCGGTGCGGAAGCAGGCTGAATTTGGACCCAGCTTTGCTCCTTTGAACTTGATATCCGCACAACGAAACTTGAGGCCCAAGGGTAGGTGAACGAAAGCTAAGGTTCATATGAACCTGGAAACATGATGGGATTTTGATGGGATGTTGATATGCTGGAATATAGATTGCCTAGAGACCTGGCAGGATTTGAGCCCGTGACCATCTGCTTCCAACACCGCTTCAAAGTGCCCCGGGAGCTTGGGGGGGGGGTTCGAGTGAAAAATCACTCTGTTGGACTCAGACCTGCCCCTCCCCTTGCTGAAGCAAGAGTAACTCCAGCTAGCTACCGCTAGCTTTCGCGACTTGTGAACAATTCAAACTAATGATAGAAAGTGGTCCTGAACCCACCAACGCTCACTGTCCATGGAAGCAAATTTCACCTTCCAAAACTCTACAAATACTATCAAATACATTTCAAATACTGTATATAACAGATTGACACTAGCTTAGACAGTTGAAACATCTTGAAACCGCCAACCGGGCATCATGATTGTGACAAAGTTGCCCAGGCAGCTCCAAAGGCTACACAACGATTCATGCTCTCATGACATAAACCTCCCAGGATGGAGGCAGTTCATGGCAGTTCACTGTCCAAATTTCGCCATTGTACAAGAGGAAATGAGGCATGTGCGATTCAGTAAATTAGATGCAATATGGTGTAATCAAGTCCACCTACATGAAAAAGGCAACAACTTGCATTTTTTGCCACTTAGCAAGTTTGAGGTGGCATCTCATCAAAAGCGAAACGCACATAAAATCATACAACACTATCAAATACTGACGGGATCCTGACGGGAAGATAGGTCAAAACATGTCAGAAGTAACGAGGCATGGGGCGCATCGAGTCCAGGCCTGTTGTCCGTACTTGAAAGGCCAACCACACGGTGATGGCTTGACTTCCGACCTCCTGAGCAGATCAGCCAAAGAGGTGACAATGCGCTGGGGAAACACCCGTTTTTCCACCGGGCCATCACCGGCCTCTGGAACGTCCGTTGCACCCAAAAGCCGCCGAACATTCAGGCGAGCATGACCCAGATGACCCAGGGATCGCAAGGTTCCGTCGATTGGCAAGAGGTTGAGGTGTTTCAAGGCCTGGCTCAGCACTCAACAAGATGAAGGTGAAACTCCTCGGCCACCCTGACAATTCTTTTGGAAGAGGTTCAGAAACATGCAACACATACTTTGCCACTTGCCCCTTCCCGACGCCCTTCCATGTTTGCCTCCATGGTAAACACCCAACCTCAGGCAATTAGGCAATTGATATCAATTGATATCAATTGATGTTCATTCCCAAGTGGTTTCACATGTTCTCAATCTGCTGCCTCAGTCTGTGACCCAATGTCGGCTGTTCCTCTAGCAGTGGCTCCTGAAGGCGCCACGTAGATCCTGGGTCACAGCCCATAGAGCTGCCCCATGCTGCCCCCATGTCATTTCCCACGTGCTCCAGCCTCGGGAACTTCGCCCTCCTGGTGCTGGTGCGCAGCAGGGAAGCAGCCATTTCTTGGAGTAAGGCAAGGCAGGCAAGGGGTATCTTGGCTAATTTTCGAACATCTTGAATATATTGTGAGTTGCAAGGCAACCTTGACGTTTCCTTCTACAAGTCCGTTGAGGACTTTCTGCGAAATCCTTCCACCTCCGCCTTGATGTTGAAAACTACATAAAAGATCATAAAACTACGGTGAAGGATGTTGAAGGGGTACCCTAGCATTTCATGCATTTCATACCGTTTCATACCGTTTCCACCGATTGAAGAGTCTGACTCTGAGACTCAAAGGTATCAGGACATTCACCTAGGAAAGCACTTTGTCTGTCCTGCAAGATTCATCAACCGTCGAAGTGGTGGATAGTAGCGTGATGCGACTGCCATGAACGTACGCATGTCCAAAAAAGAGTGCCTTGATCACATGGACGGAAGACAACTGTCCAGGGGTGAAATGACATCACGCAGTTCCAACCGATGCAACCCACAGGGACACGCAAGATCTCTTATCCTACTGACTGTTCACAGCATGAACAAGTTTGGCTGTAGGAATTTGGATCAGACTGCTTGCAAGCTACTTGTCGAGCTCATCAATCCCGTTGAATGCCTGCAATAAGCACTGCGCCGCCTGCCTGGGCCTCCCCTAGTTCTTCCTGCTTCCAGGGGGATACATCATGATGCATCGACACATCCTGAACTTACCAAAATGTGCCAATATGGCAATATGTGAGCCATGGTCAATACTCATGGTTGATGGTCATCCCTATGAACCATTGGATGACTAGCCCCCATTAATGGTTATTAACCATGAGTATTTACCATAGCTCATGTGGCAATGCAAACGGTCAGCAAATTGTGAAGCCTGGTAGAGCTCCGCAGGTCCAGCCACGCGCTGACGCAACGTCGATGCGAAACTTACAGTAGCGATGCTTTGAAACCCACGCTCGCAAGCCTCAACGAATGAAATGCACGTGTTCAAACAGTATAAGTGAACACAGGGATACACCTACACAGGGTACAAATGACATGAAATGACATGAAATGACATGAAATGACATGAAATAACATGAAACAACGTGAAATGACAGACACAAATGATAAATGACATAACCTGTTTCAACCCCTCCAGCGCTCAGGCCTGCATAGTGAAAATGCCTGCAACTACTTCTGGACAAAGCTCTGCAAGATGCAGAGCATTTTGCCAGTGGCTGCCACGCCTTCCAAATTCGTTCACATCTCACGAAAAGCGGGTGCCATGCTCCAGCAAGGCGAAAGTGGGCACCCGGGGCTGCAAACTTTGTCGCAGCCAATTGTTGCCAATTCTCAAGCTGGCAAAGAGTCTGAGTCCATGTCATGATTGTCATGTAGATTAATTGATAATGATCCATAGAGTGCTTTCATGCGCCAAGGGTTGTCCGATGTTGTCCGCATCCCACCTGCATGCTGACAAGGCGACTCCGTAGAAGGTTGCATCAGGCTCAAGTGTTTTCAGTGTATGCTGCCTTAACAAAGATTAACAAAGTGTTCCAGGCACCCAACAAGTGGCCAGTGCGGCAGTTCCATCATGTTCCATCCGGATTCCATCCCTTCGTGCAGCCAACTGGCACGTCCTCAAGGAGAAGCAAGGCGAGATCGCCACGTGCTCCTGCCATGGCCCAAGGTGGTTCACCACTCACTGACTCAGCAGAGAGGAACTTTGTTGAACTTGTCAAGTTGTCGAAAGAGACCCGGCACATTGTGGACCCACTTTCGAACCATTTCGGATCAGAGCCAACATTTCTGCAGTTGGAGAGCTAACTGTTGCTTCCTCAGTTGTTACATAATTGCTGTAATCTCCAAAGTGCTGTATATGGTCCTCTCTCGCAAGCGTTCATCGCGGCATTGTAGCCTGGAGTCATGGTCGCCCATTAATTACTCCAGGATGTGCGGGCAGCTTTCAATGTTTCGGATTCTTTCGGTACATTTCCCTGACAGCGGGATCACTGGAAACAATGCAAACGATGGAAACAATACTCGTCTATGAAGCCTGCAAACGTCTGCATACAATTCTCATCAATTCTCAAGCTTGTTCAATTCGTTTTAACCTATTGCCCCAAGTCATCAACCTGATCTTGCACCCGATCTTCCCAGAGCCTTACAGAAGCCTCTTGCAGGCGAGAAACTGATAAGGTTAGGTGTAACTCTGCATCCATTCATCCTTAGCTGAGCTGGAGAGTTGCTTCTGATGTTTATGTATCATTATGTATCTATGTATGTATGTGTGATGTTTTTGGACCTGCTTTAACTTCAACGAGTCAAACGAGTTATTGATAGTTACCAGTTATTGTTTGTTGAGGGTGACCAGTTGTCGTGTGCCCACCGGCATGAACATCCGGGTTCTTCTAGAAACCCATGGCTTCGGATGGTGGCCTTGCATGGCCGAGATACGCTGATAAAAGATGAAGGGCTTTGCCCCACTGATGTCCCGCCACACAGGCGGCCAAATGGCTCCCAAAGCTAATGACCTAAGATATCGATCAGCTTGACTCTTTTGGCCAATACTCGGCACTTAAGCAAAGGAAAAGCTTTGCGGCTTGGCTGGAGCTATAATAGTAATGGTTGACTGAGGTTGGCCTTCACTTCAGCTTACAAGATCTGTTCTGCTGCTGGCTGGCTGGCTAGTTTTCAGCAGCCTGGATCTCTCTCTCTCTCTCACTCTCTATCTCCCTCCCTCAGTGACTTTGCATCTAAGATACATACCGGAAGAGTCTTTAGATACAGATCCTTCCACCCTCAAGTGAAGAGAAGTACGACTGCAAGACAAACATGAGACACAAACAAGCCTAGTTATATTAGGTATATAAACATATGAACATGAACAAACCAACATCAATGCACAATGTGGATACATGCATGCACGGCTATAGATCATTTTAGATGCAGGATATGCACATATACACACAAGCAAACATACATACTCTAGCAGCTACTATTAGCATACCCTCACAACATGACCCATTGATGCCTTCAGTCAGAATAGAACAGAAGGTGCCGTGAGTGCCATCAAACTGCAGTGGTTGAGTACATATATGAATGCGTTTGTGTTGCCCAAAGGGTAGCCAGCTACCGGAAGCTCCGACAGCAGTGCGCATGAAGAGACACAAACTGATGCTGGCTTACATTAAAATTGTTTCTCATTTAAGGATGTAATCCTGTCCAATTGTTCGGTGCTTCTGCTTTTGCTGAGGCAGTTGCATTTCTTTCTACTCCATCTTCTTGCATTCTCACGTGTAATTGAAGAGCAGCAGACCAAGCGCCTCCCTTCCTGCAACCGCATCATTTTTGCACACGTAGCCATCACACATCAATATACGGGTGTCTCTGAAAAAGTGGTACACCACCCAAAATAGATCGTTAATTAATGAGAAAATTTGGATTAACCAGAGCATTTCGGGACACCCTATTTTAAGACAAACACGTATCACGTATCATCATGGAATATCATGGATGATTAATTGACAAGGCGCAGCAACTCATTGCAGGCTGTTCTAAGGATAGGGCTCGCAGGCAGATGCCGCACTACTAAAAGAGAATACGTCTCGCTCTGAGCTCTTTGACCTGCCGAGTTCCACTTGCAGCGAATCTGGGATTTGGACCTGCTTGGACCATAATAGTATCATTCTGGCAAAACTTAAATCTAAAGATCTCAAAGATCTAAACGGGGGAAAAAGAGTAAAGTGATTTTTATGTGCCTGTTTTTCTCAAAACAGATGTCAACAGAACCCTCGTTGCTGATCCAGGTTATGCCGGTTATGCAGCCAGGTCACTGCATTTGCTGCAAGAGATCTAAGGCTGTGATCCATTGCCCCCCTGACAGAAGCTGAACCATGTGCCGTTGAGGATCGTTGAGGATATGGATGGATATATTAATAATATATATATACATATGTATTATGATATATATATATATAATTATACAATGGATATGGTTCAGAGATGTTCAGACTAAGTCTGCCTCAACCTTACTGAGGGGGAATGCTGAATTTCGTGCTAAAACCGCATGTACCCAACATTGACATGAACATATATGAAAAACATTCACTGTGCACTGCATTCTCTCCTGACTCATAACTATTAAAGTAAGTTATTAAATGGCAGCTTACTCCTTCATGTTCCCTTCCGTCTGCAGCCCTTTGTGGCTCACGTGTCTCTCTGAAACATCTTCCGCCTGGCCTTTCTCACAGGCACTTATGGCGGCATTGTAGCAGTAACCTGGGGAAAGGCTTGTGGTGAACTGGGCGATCCAAGGACGAGAAAGCTGTCAACTAAAAATGGGAATGAAACGAGACAAGTGAATCATATTTAAATCTTTTCAAATCCAGTCATGACATGTCATGATCAACTCTAAAACATGTTGAAGCTTTCATCTGCACGAGAATCAGTTGGCGTCTGTGTCTCGGCAAATCACAAGTGGCAAGCAATCAATTCCCTGTGGCCTGTGGCCCAAGAACTGCCAACACCTGCCTTGATATCACATCGAAACACAAGAAAATCGTGGCAATAGTGCACATCTTCTGAGCATAGGACTGTTTGCTTTCCTCTGTTCTTGTGCTTCTGTCAGCAAAGCCAAGGCCATTGGCCATTGCCGAGCCTGAGGGCGAATGGTTTGAGCAGCAAGATGTGGGTGACTTAGGGCATAATTGCTATATAATTGGATATTCATCATTTGACAATATATATCAATATATTTACGTGTGTGTGTGTGTTTGGATATATTTGGTACCTTTTGGGACCCATCCTTGTGATTCCTTGTGTGCATTCATCAGCATGCAGTTGCACAATAGTCTATTTGGATCTATTTGGTACTCAAGCGAGACAGGTAGAAGAGGTATGAAGCAGAATTGCACTTTGGCGTTGTTGGAGCATTCACCGCGCCGGTAAGTGGCCTTCTCGCATCCGCTGATTGCAGCCCCATATGTCCTCCAATCGCAGCCCAGACTGAAAAGCACGTCCGAGCACAGAGCGGGTCAAGGTGATCAAGGGACATCAATCGAGTCGAATTTCATGTCATTTCATGATCATTTCAATAGATTGCAGCGAATTCCAGCAACCCCACAGCATCTCTACTCACAACATCTCGTGGGAATCATGGACGTCGATTGAGTGTTCATAGTGAAAGATGGGAAGGGCGGGAAGGGCAAACAAAAGCAGCAACTCATCGGAAAGGCATATGCACGCAGGCACGCGATAGCTCCGCAGCTGATCTTCAGGCTTCGAATTCCCATCCATCCATCCTTCCCGCTGGTGTCCTTTCATTTGCCTCAACCTTGTCATTCTGCATGCCTGAGATTGGAAAATGTCAGAATCCTGAGTGTAAGCTTGGACCTAACATGATTGAACCGATGCTGTCTCCTAAAACATCGACTCTGATCTCTTCTTGCCGCCGCAGCGTCATTGCAAAAGTGCCAGTCCCTCCAACCAGCGGCCAGCTCCTGCAGTTGGGAAGAAGTGACTGCGCCGAGTTCAATCTACTTCGTAGGGACACAAAAGACGCACTTTGGCTCAGGTCTCCTGCACAAGCAGCCACTGCCTGTGATGGTCTACTGCAAGATTTCGATTGTGAGGGATGACCAAGGGTATGCAAACTTTCATTCCATGAACACTCATGAGCGACGTATACAATATATTACAATAATATATTATGTTTGTATACATTTTGTGTGCACGTGTGTCGCCCTTGCAATTCACGAAAGGGATAAGATTGCCTGAGGGCTCTTCATGACATGGTACCGGTTTGCGCCAGGGATTTTTTCGCTCTTCCCGGGGATTTTCTTCCACCCTCAATGCCGCATCAATTCCCTTGCTATTTGCAGCATTTTAAACCTTGAACCTGCCATTTTGACAGTATTTGCAACGTTTAGGGAACGACTTCTATGGCATTTGCTGCATTTTGAGGCTAGAAACTGGCCGTAAATGCATCCCTGGGAGCTAGAAACTCCTTTTGCTGTCGGGATCGGATATTCTTGGAGCTAGCACCTGCCACTTCTACATTGCCTGCATCAGTTTGGCGTTTTGGGTTGGTTCAGCTAGAATTTTTGTTGGGTCGCTGTGGTGTGTGTTTAGGGTTGGTGGATGGTATCTTGGGTTGGGTAAATGATTTCAGGTTGGTTTAGGGTTGGTTTATGAATGGTTTCGGGGTTTGTGTAGCGTTTGTTTAAGGTGCTATTCAGTGTTGGTTCAAAATTTGGTTCATACAGAATTTTGTTGGGGTTGCTGTAACGGCTTGGCTCATAGTATGTTGGATTATGTTTTACTATTTAATATCTGTTTAGGGTTGGTTTAGGGTTGGTGTAAGGTTTTATTTCGGCTTAGTTTAGGGTTGTATTCAGGCACGTTTAGAGTGCTATTGACACTTGATTTAAGGTTTAGTTTGGTTTGGTTTAGTGTGAACTTATGGTTTACTTCGGATTTGTTTAATGTCGGTGCAATGTAATGTATATTCAGCACATATTTCAGGTTTTATTTCGGGCGTGTTTGGGGTTTAATTTAAGATTTGTTTGAATTTTCTTTGGGGTCGGTGTAGGGTTGATTCAGGGTTTGGTCAGTCTTTTATTGCTGGTTGGCTTAGGGTTGGTGTGAGGCGTTATTTGAAACGTGTTTAGGGTTTTATTTGGGGTTGGTTTTTGGTTCAAGGCTTGTCGAAAGTTTATTTATGCTCTAGTAGGTTTGTTTGGATTTGGGTTCATTTAGGGCTAGTCCAAAGTCTATTTGGCATTCGTCTCAAGGTTTATCTAAGGTTGGTTGACAAGTACAGTTGGTTTGGGGGTTGGTTTTAGGCCTGTTTGCAAATTCCTGCCTGGTAGTTTTAATTCAATTACATATATCTATATATACATATTTATATAGAGGCTAGGTTTCATTTGAGGTCGATGTGGGGTTGGAGTTGGATTAATGTTGTCTGAAGGGTTGGTCTAGCTTAGGGCCTTGAGGGTTAACTTGGGGGTGCAGGGTTTGGTTAAGGATGGTTTAGGGATTCTTGAAGTTTGGTTTAAGATGGTTTAAGGCTTTATTGAATGTTGGTTGGAAAATGATTTACACTTGTTTTGGGTTTAGTTAAGGTTGGTTTAAGGGCCAATTCAAGTTGGTTCAGGTTTGATTTAGCGCCGGTTTACGGTCTTATTTCAAGTTGGTTTACAATTCGGCTTAAGGTTGGCTTGGGGGTTTTATTTGTTGCTGGCTTAAGACCTTGGTTGATTTTCAATTTCTTTAGGGTTGGTTTTAGGGTTTATTGAACATTTGGTTGAGGGTTATTTGATGTTCGTTAAAGACTTTATTTCAGGTTGGTTGGTGCTTTATCGCGCTTTATCTAGGGTCAATGTACAGTATGCTTTTGTTTAAGGTTGGTTAACGGTTTTCTTTAAGTTTGGTTTACCATTTATTCACGATTGAATTAAAATTTATCTAAAATTCAATCGTGCTTTTATTTAGGATTGGTTTAAGACTGGTTGAAGGCCTGATGTAGTGTTTAGTTGGGGTTAGTTTAAAAGTTAAAGTGGTTGAGTAAACTTGGATTTGGATTACGGTTGGTTTAGAATTTTGTTTAACATTGGTTTGAGATGGCTTGAGGGTTTATCTACGCTTGGTTTCAGGTTTTTGTTTTCAACTGTTAATATCTGATATTGTTTGAATGCAAATGAAAAGCTTGCTGACAATACTTCGCAAACTTTTGGAAGTAGCAGTCAAATGGGAAAAACATCGCTGGCTCGCTTGCTTGCTGGCTGACTGGCTGGCTTGCTTCCTTGCTTGCTTCCTGCCTTCCTTGCTTGCTTGCTTTCTGGCTTGCTTGCCTGCGGAAATCCCGGGGAGCGCTTGCTTGCTTGCTTGCTGGCTGGCTGGCTGGCTGTCCTGCCTGCTGAATGGGTACAAACTGGGATGGGAAAAAATCCCGGAGAGAAGTGAAAAAATCGCGTAATGACAGTCCAAAACATTGGTTGCCGTTCTCTTCTGATCAATTGAGGCCAGCTCCGCGCTATAGCAAATCTGATCGGGGACAAAAGACCTACAGGTGCAAAGGGCAAAGGGAACTGCACAGAACAGCTACAGTATCGAGATGTACTACTAGATGTATTACTCGAATTTACTATAATTAGCTAATAGCTGTATTACTATATATATAAATGTATAATACATACATATATATAGATAGATAGATAGATAGATAGATTAGATAGATAGATAAATAGACAGACAGACAGACAGATAGATGCATTTAGGATCATTTAGGTGCAAAATAGCGCAGCATGTGCAGCTTGTTTTGGGGCACAGCCGGGGCCTGGCCTAGTCTGAAGGTCGTCCAACGTGGCCAAGGCAACGCGCCAACCCCGCATGGCAGTACGAGTAGCTGCCCTGACACCTGGGGCGTCTGGTTGTGCCCCTGCTGCGCTTCCAGGTAATCATGTTGCTCAAAATGAAGCAGCAATAGGTCACATTGTTTGACCTCACTTTCGCTGAGAAGTCAGCTGCTTAAATTTAGTCAATTTAGTGCTGCCAAATCACATGCTGCATTCGCTTCTGCCATTGCGCTGCAGGCGACATAGCATTGGGAGCTCCCAAAGTGCCCAAAGGCTACTCCCAGTGAGACCCCAAACGGCAGCAATCTGGTTCGAACAACATATTCAATTAATTTCAATCATCTATATATACAATGTTTGTGACCGTTTTTGGCTTTGTTGCAGGTAGGATCTGTATGTTGGATTGGGATACTGCCAGCATACTGCCAGCATACAGTAAATGGGTCTTGTTCTCGAGAGCGCTGGGGCCATGCAGGAGCTGGCCATGCTGCCCCAAAGTTCAAACATGAAGTCGAAAAGGATCACGCAAACACAGAAACAAATCGTTCACATTTAACATGCTTTTTTTTTTACATTTTTAAATATTTTTTCACATATATTCAGTGTCTGATCTGAAATAATCATTCTCACAAGAACACCACAAGCCTGTCAGCACTTTCCCACAGCTCGACCCCGCCTCCTGTTGCTGCTTTATATGCTGCTCCACCCTGGCACTAGCATCCCCGAACTGCCAGATATCTTAATTAAAGTTTATTGCTTTTTTTTTTCAGACATCGCTTGCCCGCAGGATGAAGCTTGATCCATCTTGATCCGAGCCACTCAGCAATGATCTGTTGCCGCAGCGCTTCTGTCATTCACCTGCGCGCAGAAAGTCTAAGACTTTCAATCCAGACCGCAGAAAACCTTTAACAATGAGGATTTCAGAGTGTGCATTCAAAATTTCAAAAAAATCAGGAGACATGAAGAACACAATACATAAACATTCATAAACATTCATAAACAATCTTAAAGAGAAAGAGAAAACACTGGCTCCGGCAACTCATGTGCACAAACATCCCGCCCAATTCATTGCAAACATCCAGAAACAATCAGAAACGCGACATTTGTTGAGGAGAGCGAAATCTGAAGGAAAACAATAGGAGAATCCATAGTGGAGATGGTGCAGTAGGTCTTGGACATAAAGTAGAATTGAATTTCTACCAGGTGCATCTGGACTTCTTTGGCAGAGCTCACTCCTGACGAGGTGGGTGTTCCACTGCATTATGGAAGATGTATGACAGAACCACCAGCCATACGAAGGAGACGCACGCGATCAAGCTGATTCGAAGTTCCGGGGGTGTCACCGTGAGGTAGAATTGAATGAGGACTTATCAAGAGTTCGAGAATGCGTGCATAAATGAAACATGATCACCCTGCTTTTTTATGCATTTGCTATCATTTGCTTTACGCTCCTTCCAGTCGTGCTGCACATGGTTGCAACAAAGAGGCCCAGCACATGTTTGACAGGGCGCGGGGCCCGCAACATTATACATTCCAACATCGAATTCTTCAGACTTATCAGAATTACATTTGTTTACCAGGTGGAGACTGGTCAAGGTGAACTTGCTGGTCTGGTAAGTGCGATTGTAATCCCGACACTGATTGATTTCTCAAACATACGAACCATGTCAAAAACACATCGAGCGTCTGTGCACACACGCACACACGCACACACACACACGCATGCACGCACAGCACAAAACAAACAAACACTGAAGCAGTGGAGAGGTAAATGTACCTAAATCATCCTAAATCTAGGAACTCGTTTACTCGTTTAGTCATGTTTAGTCTAAGGTAAAACGAGCCATTTTTTTTACACATACTGTATCAATTCAAGCATGTTTGTAGGCTCATCAGACTCATTCAGACTCCATGCCTGGCCATCTTCTTGATCTTCCGTCTGAATACGTTGGAATGCTCACTTCAAGTTTCACAGCTGTATCGCCCCCAATAATTTCCGAAAGGCTAACCATTGAGCACAAACCATTGCGCGTGGTATCAGGTCCCCACAACGATCTCACTTGCGATCGTACAAGTGAATAGAATTTCAACATATATTTTAAACATTTAATAAACATATTCCGTCTTAAATTTAGCACATGTAGGTTTAAACATATTATGGTTTAACATCTTTTGGATTCTTTTGGCAGCATGCCCCAACTCTGGGCACCAGGCCTTGGAGGTGCTCTGCGAAAGTGAGCTGATATGAAAACACCTGTTTAATTTGTAAAGCAATTATGCCTATGTAACGTATGCCTGGCATGCGGCATGCAAACATAATAAGATATAAATAGATATATACATATATAATAAGTCCAAGCCATTGTAAGATATTGTATATAAGTCTGGAATAGTCTGGATGAGATGAATCGACACCATCTCCAAACACTACAGTCACTACTGTTCTCCATGGTCATTGACGGAAATCTTTCAGGCAAGGCTTCTGCGTGTCTAGTGAGTCTAGCCACGCTTGAGCTCTGGATCTCAAAGCCATGCAACATTCTTGATAAGCGTAGCCTTCCCATCATTTCACCTCTACCCTGCTACAGTAGTGCTGCTACAGTAGTACTCTGTTGGAATCAACATCTCACGTCCGAACTTCTGGCCCTCTGGCCAATGAGCTCGGCAGCTGTGACGTGCTGTGACATGCTGTGACATGCTGTGACATGCTGTGACATGCTGTGACTGGAAGTTCGCTCCACCTTTTATCCAAAGATGATTCTGCCTCCCGTACAGCAATGGGGCAAATCTGACCGCAAGCATCTGAGTCTAGAAAACCTGCACTCTGCCGAATGCAAGTCCAAGCTGTACAAGCACACATGGCATGGTGTCCTGCGCCAACATTTGCAAGTACTGGGACCATGTAGCCAGATAAAAAATACGGCGATCACTGAACATCTGAAATATGCTTACATACAAGCACTCATACTATATGAGTGAACCGTGAACCAACCGTGAACCGTGAGCACGAGTGAACCGTGAACCATTTTCTGTCTCAAACACCTCAACCTGGTATGTTGATCACTCTGCCACAGTATGGCATGGGTCTTAGATGTTGCCCTGCTCCCAGAAGCATGTTGTGATGTTGCTGGAGCTGCATCTTTCACGTATCATACAGTGTGCTCGTGCTTTACTGCTGGCAGCCTTGCCTCAGTCCTAGGATTCTCGCAGCTACAGTGCAGGCCCACATTCATGATGAACATCTTGCAATCCATTTACCTCAAATCTATTCAAATCTTATATGCGCATAAAATCTTATTATAAATTATAAGTCATCAGCACCCGTCAGAAGCTGCTAGATTGCATGTTCTCCGTACTTCAATCAGCTCAGGTATCATTCCTACATGTTAATACATGTTATATCTATTTATATCTACACATTTGAGCGACACATGGCGACGCATAGTGACGTTGTGAGTAGCAAATGCTGGCACAACCCTGCTGCAACCCTTCCACCACAGGCTTCTCAAACCTCTTTGCATCTCTTTGCACTCGTGGACCGCTGCATACCGCTGCAAATCGTGGGGAACAAATGGATGATATTGGCTGAATGCAAAGAGGTGTAGGCATTGCAGATGCCATGAGTCAGACTCGGTGAATTGGCACCCAGCAAACTTAGCTTAGATGGCTGAGGCATTGATATAAAATGGATTGCCGAAGTTGAAGTGTGGGTGCGGGATGTGCGGGATGTGCGGTTGACCTCGGATGATATGTGGCAATGTGGCAATCCACTCTGAACAATCCGAGTATGTACAATTGGGTTGGCACTGCCTGAACTCCGGACAGCCCTCCCAGTGACGAATCCACCTGACCTGCGACCGCTGTGGCCGGTTGGCCTGGCTATCCTGGCTCCTTAATGTGAGGGGGTCAGAAGCCGCGCCGTTCTTGGCATTTCTTATTGGACTCCCATTACCCAAATCAAATGCATGATCATGCAAGCATCTTGATTCATCTTCATTCACTAGACTAGACTCGACTTTGCAATTGTTGGCATGGCAGAGTATGGACAGTAATTTGCAGCATCTCCGACTCTTTTAGCGACACCATGCGACACCCTTCTCTGGGCACATTGGCCTCAATGCCAGGACTTTTGACTTTCACCCCTAGGCAGCTGATGCAGGGTGGCCTGACAGGGGAAAACTTGGTAAGAAACAACACCTTGAAGTAGCATTCTTTGCGAATATTTGCACCGTCTTGCACGTCTGTCATCTACCTGATGAATCTTCTCATGCTTTCCTCGTGTCATGTTCATGTATGTATGTGTATGCGCATATATTTGCGCCACTTTCTTTGTCCTTCGTCTGTCTGCTTAGAATTCATGCCACGCCAGCTACACAGAAGTGGCTGTTTTGATCCTGAAGCTGCACCCTATATTGCGTGTATACTGTATATATACCTCCGCAACCAACAACAACACAGCAATTGTGAGTCTCCATTGGAAGTGGTTTGACATTGTGGCTTTGCTGTGCAACCTACATTAATCTACAGCATTATACAGCATTCACCGTATATTAGTCGTATATTCGTGTGATTTCATGTGTACTCATTAGAGTCGTACAGTAACCTTTGCCTGAGGTGTCATGCCGTACGTCGTATTAGTCTCTTGGTGACTGCCGCTCTCAGGCCAAACTGTCACGCCGTGCACGGATATCACGGTCTGTGGCCGTCTTGGCACGAACCACTCTGCGGCTTCCTTCCTCTACACTGCACGTTCGCAAAGGAGTGTGAGTGCGTTGAAAGCCCCAGTGGGGCCTCGAAGATGCTGAATATGCTGAAAAAAGTCTGAAGATGCACTCACATGCCGATTCCGCGCTCCGGCATTTCGTTGCAAGACCATAGAAGGGAACTTGCAAGCTGCCTCTCCTCGGGATACAACGATGAAAAGCTTAAAACGGCCAGCGTTGAATCCTAGCATGTTCCGTCCCCGATTGGATGACCTTCAGCCAGCACTCTCTTCACTGTGTTCTGGAGCCTTCCCAGGTAACGCAGTGAAACACGCGTGCAAAATTTTGAAATCGTCCTTCTTGGAAAGGCACGCCAAGAACACAGCGAAAAGGGAACACCACTGAGACAAGTGAGGGTTGTAGCTCACAAGGTCAAAAGAGATATTATGAGATATTGATATATATTGATAGATACTGCATACATTTGTCTCCCTCCTCACTCTGTCAACAGATCGCATAGCCCA